CTGCGCCGCTCGGTTGGCGCCGCGCCCGGGCATTTCCAGCTGGGAAGATCCGCGGCAAAGAGGGAATTGTCGGGAACCAGACACCATGCGCGTGTGGCCCTTTTCAGCGAGGCTTGGCGCCCGGGCATCCGGGGGGGGCGGTCGCCCAATCGCCCCCCCCCCTTGGGCGCAAGGAGGCCGCCCCCATCGCTATCGCGGGAGCGCGGCCCTCTGCGCCCGCGCAGCGCAGTGGCGCGCAGGGCGGGGGGGTGTCAGTGCAGCTGATACCACTCGCGACGACGCGAATGGGTTTGCGGCCGCGCGCGGCACATTGCTGCGGGGCGTTTACGTGCGCACGCGCGAGCAGGATCAACGGCCGGCGCTGGCAGCCATTGGCCACCCTTTCCTTGCGCTTGAGGCATCCGACGGACCAGTCGGAGCTGCGCGAGCGGGGCGCGGATGGAATTAGCATTTCGCCCGCGCTATCTCAACGACGCGCACAACCTCTGCGTCGCCAAAGTGGTGGCAGGCGGAAGGGGGGGCCCTGGCCCGCGTCTCCACGGCGCCATCAACCGTATAACGGGTGAGCTTCGCGACATGGCGCCCAACACCTATGGGCGACATCCTGCGCGCGCCAAACTTCCCCGCCATTCGCAGCCCGCGAGAAATAGAACGCCATCTAAACTACACTTCGGCACCATTGGCAGACACGCTCGCGCAGGGATGGCCAGGTCTCATCCGAGGAATAATGCTGGCCACCTCTTCGACTTCGCAGGCCCAGGCAGCCGCGCAGCTACGCGCGCGCAATGGCGCGGCAACGCAGGGTGCAGCTCCACGAGAGATGAGGGCGCCGCGCCCCGACCAGCCAGCAGGTCAGGGCGTTTCGGGGGAACTCGGACGGAGGATCGCAGCTGCACGAGCTGCGCGGAGCCAATGCGGGATTTGTTTGACACCAGGCGCGCCCCGACAATCAGTCGTCTGATGTTCATGGCATTCGTCGTGGGCGCGCAATTTAGCGGCCCCGCCCCCTCTGCGTCGAGCGCGGCACGCACGGGCGCCCTCGACAGCGCGCTCGCGAAGCATCTTAGGTGCGGGGGGGCGGGGGGGGGGAGTTCGTGGGAATGGGCGGGCGGGCAGCAATGGTGCAACAACACAGTCCAGGCATTCAGGTACTGGCGTCGTGCACGGTCAGCAATGCCACTGCATGTGCGCAGACCTACAGCGGTGCCACGGCTGAGCCTTCTACCCGCGCGAACATGGGGCAGTCATTGCCGCGGTCTTCGGCGCATCTAGGTTGGGCCCGAATCGAACAGGCATGGGCGCGTGCAGTCTCTGCCCGCAGTTCGGGCGTTGCGATTGGCCCATGCAAATGGCTCAGCGCGGACCCCAGAATACTGTGCAGCTAAGAGAGGGGTTTGGACGTGCTCAAGATGCGTGGGGGGGAGAAGTGAAGGAGGCAGGGGAGGAGCTGTTTCGACCCTATTGGTGCGATCGCGTGACGACCGGCGGCCATGGGGAGGGGCGCGCGCGTGGTAGACCGTTCCCGAAGCACGCGGCGCTGTCTGGACATCGCCGGGAGACGCGCAGCGCGCGGCCGTTGGAGGCGTCCGTAATCGTCACTAACCAATGCTTGTGTCGCGAGGGTGATTTCGCCGACCGCCGCGCGGCAATGAGCCGCGCTGCAGGAGCGGCGCACCACCGCGGGGGTCGCCATTCGGACAGGTCTCATGAACCGACAGAACCCTCAATGCTGACGCGCGCTATCTGTAGCCATCAGGCACAACGTCTCGGCGAGTAGCACGAGCACCCGCGAGGTCGCTCAGCGGGGCACGACCAGATCAGAGCTGCCGGAGAAGGTTCCGCCCATGACGCCCCGCAGCCGCGATGCGCCAGAGGCCCGCGGGGGATCGCCGCCGCCAAGGGGGGGCCCGAAGCAGGCGGAGACGCGGGCGCCAGGGCAGCCTGGGCCCCCACGGGGAGAGCGGAAGCCCCGCTCCCCCAGGAGGCCCCCCAGGGGGGGGGAAGCGGCAGCGGGTCTCAGGTCGCTTCGGGAGACCAGCGCGACGAGGCGAAGGCCCTTCAGAAGCTCGCCTCGCGGAACAGCGCGGACATCCGTGACCCGACCCGCAGCGCGGGCGATTTCTGGCCCGCGCTGCTCTTCAAGCGAGCCGCGCAGCGTTCGATGGGGGCAGGGCGAGAGCACGGGCGCAGGGTGAGAGGGGCCGCGCAAGGGCCACGAGATAGGCCCTCCACGAGCACGCAGCAGCGTCATCATGAATCGCGAGACGGCGCCCCCTTCGATCACGTAGCCAGTAGTGGCGACATTGCAGCAGTTTATTGAACAGCCCAATGGCGAATGGGGCGTGAAATTGTTCGCGGAGGCTGCCAAGAAGAGCAATCACCAGGGGGCCGACATAGCCGGCGACGAGATGGGCGACGACGACCGCGCGGCGACGGCGAGCCTCGTGATCAATCGCAGCCCGTGCTTTCGGGCGGCGCACTACAAGGGCGTCGTCGCGGAGGGGGAGATGGCGGCGTTTGGGTTGCAGGCCGCAATTTTCCAGCGGGCGCCCAACGCGGCGGAGGCGCGCCAGGGCGGCATCAAGAGCCGCCCGAGCGTCCCCGGGGCGGGCTCGGAGCAGGCGGTGGAGAGGCAGCTGCAACGGCGCAGGTGATCGACGGTCACTAATTCGGCGAGGCGCCGCCGCCCCAAGCCCGCAGCCTGTCGGGGCGCCATGCCGATGCAAGCGCCGCGAGCTATGCCCCTGGCGCCAACGGCTCAGCCAGCCGGCCGCCGGCGCAGCCTAGCCTCCCTGCGCGGGGCAGGGGGGCGCGGCAATGCAGATTCGCCCAGATCTTGCGACTTGCACAGGTAGACGCGCAAACAAGCAGGACAACGTGGAGGACATATGGAGCACATGCTACGGATATTCATTCACGACCGAGACCATCGCACAAGCGATGTCTGCCGCGCCATGGAATAACCGCGGGGTGGGCAGGGGGGAGAGACTTAAACGGCGCGCCCACTTCCGTTTTCTGTCACGACCCCCTTTTCAACAAGGAAATGCGACGAGTGCCGCCGCCCATTTCCTCTCCTCACCGCCTCGCCTCAGGCCAGGGCAGAAACGTCGGTGGTCAGATCGACGCTCTCACAGCAGCTGCCGCCATTGGGGAGACACCGATCAGGCCAGCCAGCTCGCTATTAGGGAGCTGGGTGAACGCCCGCCTGGGAGGTCAGTTTTGAACTACTGCGCACAGCGAAACATATCGGGGGCTCTAGCGCGACAGGCTTCTTCCCCAACGACGGTCTCAGAGCAGTAGGGCGACCAGAGCATGCAGTCGCATTCGTCGGTGAGCCGCCAGCGATTTGCCTAGGGTGGGGGCGAAGGCGTTGCAGGCCCAGGCGCGACCGCGTCGGGGGCCCGAGGGGGCCCGGGAGGGACTTGGCACTGAGGGGACCTACTGGCCCCAACCACCACGACTGTCACCTCCTTCCGTGCGACCAGGCACGCTAAGGCACGACGGCGCCTGAGGATGCTACTATGCACAATAGGCGTGCAATCCAGGGCTACTACCCATGGGCTACGGCGAAGTCCCGTAGCCTATTTCGTGTTCGTTATCCAGCAGGTGCAGCGCACCCAGCCCGAGACGAGATCGGGGGCGATGGCGCAGGAGGGCCCGGTAGGCCCGACAGCGCGGGCCAGCGCAGCGCCCGCTGCAAAAGCCAGCGGCAGCCTTCACCGTGGAGCACCCATCCAGCAGATCTTCGGCAGCATGGAATACTGCTTGAAGATCGCGCGCATGAGCCTCCAGATCACGCCGCAGGTCTTTGCCGACATCCGCCCGCAGTCCGACAAGTAGCTCGCCACCTTTAAGCGACAAGAAGAAACTCTGAGCATCTGATCGCCAAACTTGGCAGGCTCGAGGCAGCCAGGTGCGCAAACCCGCTCGCGCTGGAGCAGCAGAACGAGAAGGCCGGGCACGCGGCGAGAGTGGCCAGCAAGCTCAGCCATGCGATGAATGACGCCCGCCAGCACGTACTCGGACCATTCCCATGGGAGACGAGATCGACGGCGTCTACACGGTGAGGTCGAAGTCGCCGCAGGGATTTGGCTGCGACGTCGACTCGCCTACACTACAGATCAGGAGATGACGCACGTGCGCGCCCCAACCACATGCGCTCCTGGGCCGACATGCCCGATGCCATCGCCGTCTATCCAGGGTTGGCGCCAGCCTCAGCTGACCCACGTGAGCTCGCTTAGCTGTGATCTTCGCCTCCACGACCCCACAGTCGTCGCAGCGGCGGGATTGGGAGTGGGTCTCAGGGGCCTTGGGTAGACCGCCATTCATAGTGCTGCGCACCATTGACGGAGCTACTTTTTAGGAGTAGTATTATTGCATCGTTCAGTGCGGCGTTGCTCGTTGCTCGTGTCCAGAAGGTCTCAGACTTGATGCGCATGCCGCCCGCGCCCCTTCCCCATGCCAACGGGCAGTGGGTCTGGATGGCAAAGTCCAAATACCAGGCCGCCTCTCTCTTTTCTTTCTGTTTGTGGGCGGGGATGGGACCGGTGGGGGGTGGGGGATTCTCTCAGAGGCCGATGCCCGACCTCGAATGGCGAAGGCAGTATCGGCCTCCTGCTCAGTTCAGATTGACCTTCTGGCATGGCCCCGTGCAGCGGGGCAGCTTACTACCGCACAGTGTGCGGGGACAGCCACGCCCCAGGCAGTTCCGAGGGTAAGACAGTCGATTCAGAGGCCTTTTTCCATATGTTCCCTATGGGTCTCAAGAGTGCGGAGCTGTTGGACACACGGACCCTCGCGGCCTTATTTTCATGATCCTCCTCCTCTTCCTCTTCCTCTTCCTCCTCCTCCTCCTCCTCCTCCTCCTCCTCCTCCTCCTCCTCCTCCCACGTACCCAGCATCTTCCCTCCCTGTCTCAATCCTCTCTTGGGTTCTCCCTCGCCGTCCCTGCTTTTCCTATCCGGCCTCGGTGTTGGACCGCCCCCCCCCTGCTGTCCAAGGCCGACCCCATGGCCCAGGCAGGCGGGGCCATCGACGCCCTCGCGCGACAGTGGAGCGAAGGCGCGGGCGAGCTCACCGGATTCTACCGCACGTCACCGTCTGATCCGTCAATTAGTGACACGTCGATTAGTGAATTGTCCGTTTTCGGTTCTCGAAAAGGCGCCGTGGCCGTTATTTTCCAGGCTTGCGCCCGCCAGGTTTGAGCGTCAGGTTGTTTTCACTAAATCACATGTTGCTAAAGGGGGGTCTGTCCATCCCCGATATGAACAGATGGCTTCCCGTTTCCGAAGAAGGCGAATTTACCGGCGGCGAGCCCAGGGAGGGTGGAAGTGAAAAATGGCGGGCCTTGGCAGAAAACGCACAACATTTCTCAGGAGGTCTGCTCATTCCCACTTACCCCCCGGGCGCGCCGCCGAGTAGTTGAGGCAACGGTCGCCGACGGCAGAAACATGATTTCTCCGAGGTCGGCCCAGATTCTTTGGGGTCCCCCCGGGCGGGGTTTCCGGCGCCGCCCCTGGCGGAATCCGCGCCGCAGATCCAAGAAGTCGCGCTGACCTTCGTTACCTCAACCTACCCCCTCCTCCTCCTTTTCCTCCTCCTCCTCCTCCTCCTCCTCCTCCTCCTCCTCCTCCTTTCCTCCTCCTCCTCCTCCTCCTCCTCCTCCTCCTCCTCCTCCTCCTCCTCCTCCTCCTCCTCCTGAAACTGTGTGTGTGTGCCCGTTGTTTTTCTGGGCAGCTGGCCCTTTCTCGGGAGGCCCCCCGTCGCCACGGCGGGGCGCGGCTCGGAGAGCCCGTGCGCGCGGTCCCTTTGGGAAGGGGTCCGGCGGGGGCCGCCGTGGAGCTGCCGCGGTCCCCGCGCGCCGTGCGCCGACCCCTGGCGTGCGCCGACACCTGCCGCGCCCGAAAAGGTCGAGACTTCTGGGACCCCTCATGGCACAAGTCAGGGCATCGCATGTTTGGGAGAAGGGCAAGCAGGAGCAAGAGGGCGAAGATGAGGGAGGCAGATGAGACAAGTCAGGAGGAGGAGGAGGAGGAGGAGGAGAAGGACCTGAGGACTTTGTGGGCCCCGGAAACGGCAGGGCCGTTTTTTCACCGTCTCCAGAAAAGAGTCCATTGAAAATGGAAACGGCAAAAAAAAAGGCGACCAGAGACGGCAAGAGAACGGCTCCAGGATTGGAACCGGAGCCGGAACCGGTCAAACAACGGCGACGGAACCGGTGAAAAAACGGCGTCGGAACTGGCAAAACAACGGCAAAACGGAACCGGTAAAAAAAACGGCCTTGTCGTTACCAGGGCCCACTAAGGCTCCAGACCAGTTGGGGGTGGACAGACCTCCTATCTTGACACGTCGATTAAGGAATTGGCCGTTTTCGCTTCGCGAGAGGGCGTCGAGGCCGTCATTTTTGCGGGTCCAGGTGCGTCGGTTTCGGTCCCAGGCCGTTTTCACTAGGGGGAGGTCTATTAAAGGGAGGTTTGCCCACCGCCGAGCCAGGGCTGGACCTAAACTGTGTTTTCGGCGATTTCCTGGGCCGTTTTCGTGTCGCTTTCGTGTTTCGGCAGAGGCGGATTCGAGACAGAAGCGAGAGGGAACACGGAAGCAGAACGGAAACGAAAAGCACCGTTTAGGTTCAGCCCTGCTCCAGACCCAGGCACGATCGCGTCGTGACAAAAATCAGGACGGCAGGTTTGATGCCATTTTACGGCCCCGGGGGGCCGGCCCTCGCCAGGCCTCGGGGCCGTCAAAAAAACGATGCAGGACTAACAAAAACGGGTCCCAGGGAAGGGGTCGGGACTTCGGGGGCGCCGTCCTGCAAGAAATCAGGAGGTCGCATCTGTCTGGGGAAGGAAGGGACCCCGCCTTCGTGGAGTCGAGGGGTTGACCTCGCGTTCCCTCGGGCGGAGGTTTCTGGACGCCCCCCGCGGATGCCAGAGGAGTGAAGTCGGCGGTGCCAGCGGCGGAAGGAACACGTGATCCCAACACGTGTGTGGTCTTGTTTGGTTCCGAGCTTCCGGAGCGGATGTCAGCTGTCTTTCAAAGTGTCTATGGGTTGTTGTTCAGCCTTGTATCTTATTCTGAAGGCTGCCGCCTCTGCTGCCGACCCCATGTGAGCCCTTCGACCGTGGCCCTTCTATTACGATGTGCGGTGGCATTCCAGATTCTTGGTTGCTTCGGGTCTCACAGGGACCTGGTGGGGGGTTGTTAACACTGGCCTCGCCGTCCTATGCATGGCGTGCGCCCACTACATTTGAGCGGAGGGGCGGTGCGCATTTACTACGGCGGGGCAGGGGAGGCCGCACGGGGCCTCCAATGTTTTTGAGCTAAACGTGCGCCGCGGTGGAGTTTCATTTCGTTCGCTTTTGCTTCGGCCGCCTTCGTTGCTTCGTCCGCAGAGCGGGGGGGGGGCCGAAGAAGCTTTCGTGGGGTGGGGGTGCCGGGGCGTAGCGGGGGGCGAGGAGGGGGTCGTTTTGTGGGACAAGGACATGGCCGTCATGGAGTGGGAATGCTGGGGCGTAGTGGGGTCGAGGAGGGGGGGCGGCGGTTGGTCTTGGGCGTGGCATTATAGTGCGGGTGCGGGGGGGGGCGACAACAGAGCCCTCGTGGAGTGGGGGCTCCGGGGCGGAGTGGAGGGCGAGGAGGGGGGGGCATCGGTTTATTTCAGGGCGTGGAATTGTAGGGTGGAGGGGGGGTGGAGAACACAGCTGTCGTGGTGTGGGGGTGTCGGGGCGTACTGCGTGGCGAGGAGGGGTGCACCGGTCGGTCTTGGGTGGTGAAGAATGGTCGTGTTGGGGGGGGGGGCAAAAACAAAGCATTCGTGGGGTGGGAGTATCGGGGCGTAGTGGGGGGCGAGGAGGGGACGTTGGTCGGTTCAGGGCGAGAAATCGTAGGGTGGGGGCGCTCAAGAACAGAGCTCTCGTGGGGTGGGGGTGTCGGGGCGTAGTTGTGCTCTGAAATTTCCACCAGGCAGCAGAGATTCTTCTGACACGCTTCATCGCGTAAGCGTGGTGGCGGATGAAGCAGCATCTTCATCATGTGAGGCACCCGCATCAAATTCACCGCCGTCATCAATACAACAGCATCACTATAAGCATGGACAGCATCACCACCATCAACATCATCATCATCAACATCATCATCATCACCGTCGTGTCGTCTGGGTCCCAGTCAGGGAGGCCTGGGTCTCACTCAGGGAGAATCTTGCTCCAGGCCCGTCAAGAGTTGGCGGTCCTCCCAACGAAACATCCGCTCAAAACCGGTCCCTGGACCTTCCCCCCCTCTCCCAGCCGGGCGCCGCTCTGACTCGTTCTCAGCGCCGCGCGCTGACTCGGTCTAAGCGCCCGCCCGCGGGGTCCCGCCCTTGAGGTTTCGCCGGTATAGTAGGGCCCTGGGGCATGGCAGGGACAGCGCCCCCGCCCATTGGGTTCCGCCCGCAGGCGTAGGGCCCCGCCCCTCGGCTGAGGTCCCGCCCGCGTGGTCCTGCGCAGCCTGTAGGCCCTTGGCAAGGCAGGCGCAGCGCCCTGGGAAGAGGTTCCAGGAAAGGCTTTGCGGGGTGGGTCGCCCCTGAGAACGGATGCCCAGAGGCTCCAGGAGGCTGGCGGTGTCAGACGTGGTGGGTTGGTCGGTGGGCGAGAAATTCTAGGGTGAGGGGTCCCAAGAACAGAGCTCTCGTGGGGTGGGGGTGCCGGGGCGCGGTGGAGGGCGTTGGTCGGTTTGTGGCGAGAATGTCACGCGCAGGGGGGTCACGGGAAGGATTTTGCAGGGTGGGTAGCCCCGAAGAATGTATGCGCCGAGGATCCAGGAAGCTGGCGGTGGCGGTCAGCGGGAGGTGCCGTGGCGTATATCAGGAAGTGGTGGACAGCCGGGACGGATTCTGTGGGGTGGGTAACCCCTGGGAACGAGTGTTCAGAGGCTCCAGGAGGTTGGCGTTGTTAGACGTGGAGGGGGGTCCCGAGAATCATTTTGCAGGGTGGGTGGCTCCTGAAAGCCAGTGCCCAGAGGCTCCAGGCGGTTGGCAATGTCAGACGTGGCGGGGCAGTTGCGGGACGGATTTTGCGGGGAGAGTGGCCCCTGAAAACCAGTGCTCAGAGGCTGGCGGTGTCAGACATGGTGGGGGGGGGGGGGGGGGGCGGGACGAATTTTGCGGGGGGGGTGGCTCCTGAAAACCAGTGCTCAGAGGCTCCAGGAGGCTGGCGGTGCCAGACGTGGTGGGAAGGTCCAGGAACGGATTTTGCGGAGTGGGTGGCCCCTGAGAACCGATGCCAACAGGTTCCAGGAGGTTGGCGGTGTCAGACGTGGTGGGTCGGTCGGTTTTGGGCCAGAAATTTTTGGGCGAGGGGTCCCAAGAACAGAGCTCTCGTAGGGTGGCGGCGCCAGGGCGCGGTAGAGGGCGTTGGTCGGTTTTGGGCGAGAATGTCACGCGCAGGGGGGTCCCAGTAAGGATTTTGCAGGGCGGTGAGCTGAACAGGTGAAGAGTTGAGGCGCACACGGTTTTTGCAGGGTGGGCGGCTCCTGGAAACCAGTGCTCAGAGGTTCCAGGAGGCATGGCGGTGTCAGACGTGGTGGGGGGGGGTCCCCTGACGGATTTTGCGGGGTGGGTGGCTCCTGAAAAACAGTGCTCAGAGGCTCACTGTTCAGCCTTGTATCTCATTCTCGCTGTCTCAGTCCTGTGCGTTTGTGATTGTCCAGCTGCCTGCGGCAAACCCCGCCACCGTGCCTGTGCAACAGCGCTGCAGGAAAGAATCTGAGTGTAGGAACAGCGCAATTCCGATAAGTGGTATGATATCGGGCGAAGAGAAGTATGCACATGCACCGATCTTGGCCATGCCTATCCTTGGCCCAGGATCAGTGCATAGGCTTTCCTGGCCAAGGCAGGAGGGCGTATGCACCGATCCTGGGCTCAGGATGGGCCTGGCCAGAATCGGTGCATGTGCATACTTCTCGTTCCTCTATGATAAGGACGGGTCTTGAATTCGACTTCGCCTGCGTCCTCGCGGCAAGGCACGAGGTCGAGGTCACACTCCGCGGCAGTTCAGAGAGCGGTCTGAGCTGAGGAGGGTCGTGGCCCCGACATTGCTTTCGTCCGCGCGGCAGGTAGGAGGAGCCCAACATGCCCTGGAGTAGTCCAGGGTGATCTCAACACCCCCGCGCCACCTGAGACCGCCCCGGGTCACTCGGGGGGGCCTCTTGAGGCCAGCTGGGAATACTCGGGGGACCTGTTGAGGCCAGCCGGGACTACCTGGGAAGGCTGCTGTTTCGCAGCCCGAGGCCTTACAGACTTGCATCGTCGCGCGTTCCCCGTCCAGATTGACTGTCTTACTCTGACCGGGATCACGGGTCGCACTCGCGGCCGGCCGCGAGCGTTTTTGGCTCAAGCATCCTGGCCCGAGTTCCCGGTGTGGCCCCGAGAGCGGTGCGGCCACTCATCCCCCCAGGCGCGAGATCCGCGGCATTTGCCAGTCAGTCTCATGCGCAGCAGCCGCGGCAACAGCATGCAGGGCACCCGCCAGGCCGACGGGTCAAGACTGGTCGTCAGTGATGGTCTGTTGACGCTAGTGGGCGTCGGGCCCGGGCCCGGCCGCAGCAGCAGCGACGGTAATCTCGGGAGCGCCGCTGGGGGATGCCTCCCGCGGGTGGACGCGTCCCAGAGTGCGCACGACGGAGCGCCGGGGAGGCCTGCGCACGGGCAAGACGATCAAGGCGGGAGCGCCAGTGGGAGCGACACCACTCACGGCTCCTTCCCAGAGCACGTCCCTTCCGCATCGGGCAGCTATTGTTCTCTGTCGGATCTCAGCGGCAGCAGGTGGTGGTTCAGCGACTGCAGCGAGCACGAGAGCAGCGGCAGCTCAGCGTGGAGCAGCTCCCACTCCGAGAACCACAGCCCTCGGTGTGCAGAGGATCGGCGTCACCCCAACAAACGAATGCTGTGCGTGCGTCCCCCCCCCCAGGGGCGACGCGCGCACCGAGAAATCTTACAGTAGATTCGTCGTGGCGGGCGCTTTCTGGCCACACCGCTTGGGAAACCATACGCTGCAAGATTTGTCAGAGAGAGGGGGCTGAACCGAACGGTCATTCACTGTCCCTGGGTGCTTGTCTGAAGTGAAATTCCGCGATGCGGTATGTTGTTGTTGCTGTTGTTGTTGTTGTTGTTGTTGTTGTTGTTGTGGTTGTTGTTGTTGTTGTTGTGGTTGTGGTTATGGTTGTGGTTTTTGTTGTTGTTGTTGTTGGTGGTGGTGTTGTTGTTGTGGTTGTTGTGGTTGTTGTGGTTGTTGTTGGTGATGGTGTTGGTGTTGGTGTTGGTGTTGGTGTTGTTGTTGTTGCTGTTGTTGTTGTTGTTGGTGGTGTTGTTGTTGTTGTTGTTGTTGTTGTTGTTTGTGTTGTTGTTGCTGTTGCTCTTGCTGTTGCTGTTGTTGTTATTGCTGTTGTTGTTGTTGTTGGTGTTTGTTTGTTTGTTTGTTTGTTTGTTTGTTTGTTTGTTTGTTTGTTTGTTTGTGTGTTTGTTTGTTTGTTTGTTTGTCTGTCTGTCTGTCTGTCTGTCTGTCTGTCTGTCTGTCTGTCTGTCTGTCTGTCTGTCTGTCTGTCTGTCTGTCTGTCCGTCTGTCTGTCTGTCTGTCTGTCTGTCTGTCTGTCTGTCTGTCTGTCTGTCTGTCTGTCTGTCTGTCTGTTTGTTTGTTTGTTTGTTTGTTTGTTTGTTTGTTTGTTGTTGTTGTTGTTGGTGTTGTCGTTGTTGTTGTTGTTGAACTCTAATTACTGAAGAATAATTATTGTTGATCCCCCCCCTCCGGCGGACATGGTATTTTTTCAATTGAAGTGCCCCTTCCGGGGCTCGCACCCTGTTTTTTATCAGGGAAAGTCGTGGGCATCAAACTGCGTTGTTGACCCCCCGGACAACAACAACAACGGCTCCCGCCTGATACTTCCTCCAAATTTACTCAGGACCCCCGCCCCCGCCTGGGACTTCCTCGCAGTTTACTCAGGCGGAGGCGCTCCCGCCTGAGACTTCCTCGCAAATTACTCCGGACCCCCGCCCCCGCCCGTTCGTTCTCTTGGCATCTCGCCCGCCCGCTTTAAGCCACCGCCCGCCCGACCCGCCAGCGAGGGTCCGCCGCCCGACCCGTCCGTTGGCGTCCGCCCGCCCCGCCAGCCCGACCCGCCCCTCAGAGTCCGCCGCTCGACCCGTCTGTCTGGTTCGTCCGTTTGTTTACCTCCTCTTTTGCCCCCCTCCCCTCCTGCTAACCTCTTTCGTCCTCCATCCATCCTCCCCCCCTTGCCCCTTCCCTCCTCCCTCCCTCACCCCACTCTTTTCCTCCTCGCTCTCCCTTCCTCCTTCCCCCTGCTCTTCCTGTTTTAGGGGCTGCGCCAATTACACGTGGCGAGTAAAAAAGATATACCCCCAAAGGGGTATGACCGAAGACGAAGAGGGTGGGTATCGAGGGTTTGAGATTTACATGTTGAGTGACGCGCGCGCATATAAGAGCGATCAGTCTTAAGATGATTGTTGTTGTTGTTGTTGTTGTTGTTGTTGTTGTTGTTGTTGTTGTTGTTGTTGTTGTTTGTGTTGTTTGTGTTGTTTGTGCTGTTTGTGTTGTTTTTGTTGTTTGTTGTTTGTTGTTTGTTGTTGTCGTCGTCCCACCCGCGACCCACCCGCGACCCGCCCCGCGACCCACCCGCGACCCACCGCGCGATCCACCCGCGACCCACCCGCGACCCAACCCGCGACCCACCCGCGACCCACCCCGCGACCCACCCGCGACTCACCCCGCGACCCACCCCGCGACCCGCCCGCGACCCACCCCAAGACCCCCCCGGCGATCCACCCGCGACCCGCCCCGCGACCCACCCGCGACCCACCCGCGACCCACCCCGCGACCCACCCGCGACCCACCCGCGACCCACCCTTGCTTGACCCACCGCGACCCACCCGCGACCCACCCCGCGACCCACCCAAAATTTTCGGCGCCTGCGGCGGGATTCTTTTGCATTCGTTCCAGGTGGAGAACTTGCGACCCGCGACCCAAACCGCGCCCGACCCACCCGCGACCCACCGCGACCCACCCGCGACCCACCCAAAATTTTCGGCGCCTGCGGCGGGAGTCTTTTGCATTCGTTCCAGGTGGAGAACCTGCGACCCACCCGCGACCCAAACCGCGTTCAGTGTACAAATCAAGATTTTCGGAGCCTGCGGCGGGCTGTATTTGAATTCCTTCCAGGTGGAGGTGGAGAGCCCGCGACCCACCCGCGACCCAAAGTACGTTCACTGAACAAGCCAAAACCTCGGCGCCTGCGGCGGGTTTCTTTTGCAGTCGTTCCAGGTGGAGAACCTGCGACCCAAACCGCGTTAGGTGTACAAATCAAAGTTTTCGGCGCCTGCGGTGGGCTGTTTTTGAATTCCGTCCAGGTGGAGGTGGAGAGCCCGCGACCCACCCGCGACCCAAACGACGTTCACTGAACGAGCCAAAAACCGGGCGCCTGTTGATCGAGGACGGTGAGGATGACGACGATGAGGACGGGGACGCGGATGAGGAGGAGGAGGAGGAGGAGAAGGAGGAGGAGGAGGAGGAGAAGAAGAAGCAGGAGGAGGAGGAGGAGGAGGAGGAAGAGGAGGAGAAGCAGGAGGAGGAGGAGGAGGAGGAGGAGGGCGCCATCGACAGGGAACGTGAGGGCCACGAGGTCCGCCGGCTCGACGCCCGCGTTGCCCGCGCCCGCCCCCTCACTCGTATCCGCAATTGCGGGGAGTGCTACGTGCACCATATGTGCGGAGCGGCCGCGCGCCTCGAAGGAGGCCAAGCAGTTTCTACTTAGTATGCCTCTGTGCGCCCCGGAGGAAAGCGAGGTCGACGAGCAGGAGGAGGCAGAATGGCTGCAGGCCAACGCGGCGCAGCACGCCGCCGGGACCTGCCGGCCGTGCCTCTTCCACGGGACGGCGGCGGGCTGCGCACGGGGCCGCGCGTGCAGGTTCTGCCACCTGCCGCACGCGGCCGAGCGCGGGGCGCGGCGGAGCAAGGTCGACCTGGCATCGCTCGGACGCGTGCATTTCCCCCCCGGCAAGGATCATCGAGGAGCATCCTTGATCATCTGGCGACGAAAAGCCACGCCCGAAACCGAGAAACGCACACGGGAATGCACGTCCGAGCGATGGCCACGTCGAGGGTGTGCGCTGCAGGCAGCGGGCCGCCGCGAGGCCGGGCTGCCAGCGCGAGGGCGGCGCGGACGCCGCGCGGGACTCGGCCGGCGAGGACGGCCCGGGCCAGCGGCGGCTGCGCAGCGCCCTCGAGGAGAGGGGCCCGCAGCCGCCGGGCGGTCCGGCGCCGGCCGCCGCGGGCCGGAGGCCGGAGCAGCCCTCGAGCTGCGGCTAGAATCGCGAGGGGAAGAGGAGGGGAGAGCAATAGAGGAGGAGGAGGAGGAGGAGGAGGAGGAGGAGGAGGAGGAGGAGGAGGAGGAGGAGGAGGGGGAGGAGGAGGAGGAGGAGGAGGAGGAGGAGGAGGAGGAGGAGGAGGAGGAGGAGGGTGGAGGAGGAGGAGGGGGAGGAGGAGGAGGAGCGGGGGAGGGAGGGGAACGATGGAGGAGGTCCGAGGGGAGCGGGGAGGGGGGAGCACATCAGGCGTTCCAGAGTGTTCCGCAGCGCCCTCGGAGCGTTCCAGATCGCCCTGAAGCGGCCACGACGCCCGGTACATCCTCCAGAGGCGCCAGATCTCAGAGATCCCCTAATTATTCATCCAGATTCGATGTTGCCCCATTATTGGCTTCGTCTTAGCACGTGAGGGGAAGTATGCAGACTATGGCCGGACGGGAGCAGCCGCTCGAACGGTCGAGGGGACTCGAGCCAGAATCTTCGTGGCAGATTGGCCGTTGCCGCGTTACATGTACGCTTATTTTCAGATCTTGGCTCTTCCGTCGCAATTCGGCCAGACGGATTTGAAACATAAAGATCATAGTGTGTCTTCTGGCAATGCTGGCACAATGTTCGAAATCCGAGTTCCACCCGAGATCCGCGTAAGCTGATTTCATGTGAATCTCCAATCCGTTTGCGGACGTTCTGTTGTGTTTAGTCGGAACGAAATTACATACGTTACAGTCATCTGTTTGAGTCCGGTTCAGGCGTGTCATGCACATCATGTTTGTCGTGTGCACCTGCATAATCTCAGTGCTACTGCACACTTTTGTTAAATAATTTCATGGTAAGTTCATTCATTCTAAGTTGAATGCTCGACCATTATTTGAAATTGCAGTAGCCGAGTGTGATTTGTGTCTACGTTGTATTTCCATCGATTGATCGATCCACGTTTTATCCATTTGGTTTGCGCCAGGTGTGTGTTGCGTTTGCACCTCAATGTCTATGTTGTGCATTTTCTGTCAGTTGTAATGCCCACTTTTGCATTCAAACTCTAAAGTCGTGTATGTATCTGTCTGAGCAGTTCCGATCGTCCAGAAATCCACATTTCTGGTCGATCGAACAACCTACTCCTTCTTTGAATTGGCTTGCGGTCTTAAGGCTCTGAACCGAGTTTATGTTTCAAATCCCTATGGCCATCCGGGCGCTGGCCCTGGGCGGTACGCGCCCCCAGCGTCGGCTGGCCAGTGCGGAGGGCGGACATGGTATTGGGATCCAAGGCGTGTACCATCCGTCCAGCCGCCTGTTTGAAAGCATCCGTTCGCTTAGTCCGATCTTGCGGTCCACGCGACCGCCAGACCCGCTCGTTTAGTGCAATGTTGCGGTCCACCAGACCGCCAGTTTAGAACCACCCGCTTGTGTCATGGCACCACTGGCATGTTTAGGGTTTAGGCGTAGCAGAGGCTGGTCTACCACTTCGTTTCAAGCGCACTGGTTCTGTTCAATACGCCGTCTCGTCCGGCTGTGGTTCACGCATTCGCCCACTGGCTGGGTTCGGCGGCAGCCAGTGCAGAAAGGTCCTGACGGGTACACTTCCCTAGCCTTTCGACGTTGATTCGGTGTTCGTGGGGATGCTTATCATCGCTCATTGCTTACGCAGGAGAACAGAGTGGAGCAAGTGAGCCGAAGCATGGGGAGAATCAGTGGTGCGTTGGTACCTGGTCCCGTCATTTTGTCTTCACTCGCGGCCCTGCTCGCTTCAAGTGCGAGCAAGAGTGGCCGAAGAATATCAGCTGTAGTGGTCCTAGCTTGGGTGGAGGGCGTGGTGCTCCGTCCGTCGCCTTGCCCCTCAAAGCGGCCACCCCAGCGAATGTGGATTACACCCGCCAACTCAACCTCCCAATACGCGTGGTGTTGGGTGGTTCTAAAACCGGGCAGACAAACCCGCGCAGATCGAGCTCGAGGGGTCGCTGGCAGCAACATTCCATACCTTTTGTCCTCCTGCGCCGTGGCTTCATAGAGATTGTGTGCATCTTTCACCGCCTTGTCTCGTCAGGTTCGCTACCACGATGACAGCAGTCGGGCCCAAGCGGCGTTTTGCGATGGGCCTGCGATGTTGGGTTGCCTGACGCGCGTGATGTTTGAATTCGCGTGCTTTCTGGTGCTTCACACCCACTCTTTGTCCACAGCCTTACGTTCACTTCTTTGCTGCGCGCGAGTGGAAAAAAGACCACCGTGCCCGCAGTGGCTTATTTCTGAAATTGATCGAGCAGAACACTTGCATTACAGAGTCTTAGTGTTCATTGCCGAGCGGACTGCGCCACTACATGGCTTCACTCAAGCAAAAAAGAAGACGGCGCCAAGACGGCCAAGCAGAGCCTTCACATAACCCCAATGCACATCCACGCAGCCCAATGACGGCCCCAGTAGCCCCCACGAAGACTCCAAACGCTTTCAAAATGACTCCCAAGCGAGAGCTCCAGGCAGCCCCAGCAGTCCACGCGTATCCCCAAAAGGTCCCCAGGACCTCCACTTCTTCCACGTCTTTCTCCTCATGTTCTTTCACCCGTTTTTTTCGTTGTCTTCTTCTCTGTCGCCTGCCCAACTGTCCTCATTGTCCTGTGCGCTGTTCCCCACGTTGTCTTCCTAATATCCTAGACTCTTTGCGTAGCCTCACCAGCCAATGCAGAAACGATGCCAAGGCGAGTTGCCCTGATCAGGAATGTGGAGAAGCACGCAGTGGAATCATAGCCTCGGCAAACCGTCACACGTCATACCCAAAGGGAGTGATACTGGAAGAGGGGGAGGGAAAGGTGGAGGGGGGAGGGAGGTCGAGAAAAAGGTGGATCTGGAAGAGGACGAGAACGAGGACGGCCAACAGAAAATGCAAGAGGCCTTTTGGATGTTTCTCGGAGCTTCTTCGGCTGTCTATTGAGAGTTTCTTGCGGTCCTCTTAGGGCGTCTTGGTGGGTCTTTTGGCGGCCCCAGTCAAAGAGGAGTGGTCACCGCGGTTTAGCCCGAGCGTCGACGCATATCTGTACATCGTACGGAGAGTTAAACAGCGTATTCAACATCTGATTGCCGCCATGCTTTTTCTCGTGCAGCTTCCACCCTTCGCAGTTCTAGTTGGTAGCGGAGCTGGGAGCGATCCCAGCGCTTGCGAATCACGGAACGTGCAAATATTGCGGTGTGGACGCACATTCGCATTTATTGCGAAGGCCTTACGGCCGGTGCCGCCGACCCTGGAGGGCGACACATCCGTTCTCTAATGTTGCGGGGGGGGCCTCTTGGGGGTATCTTTGGGTCTCGTGTGGGGGGGGGGTCGTGTTGGGGCCTTTGTTGGCAATCGTGAGGCTTTCTCGGGAGCGTCTTTGGCCGACGACGACGTTGACGGCGGTGGCGATCTGGAGCTATTCTCAAGGGTCTCTCGGGGACTCTCTGGGGCTCTCTCGGGGACTCTCGGGGCCTTCTTGGGCCAGTTTGGGGCAATCTTGGGGGCATCTGGGGCCGTCTTGGAGCGTCGGCCAGTTGAAACGGCGAGAGCGCCAACATCTGTCAAACACTTTGAGGAAATCATTGATTTTTCCCTCTTCGTGCCCTCTTGGGAGTGCTCTTGAAGACTTCTTGGGGCGTCTTGGCAATCTCTTGGGCCGTCTGGAGGCTACTTTGGCGTCTTCGACCGATGGTTCGGCGATTCGGTGCCCTCTGGAGCCGTCTTGGAAGCCTCTTGGGGCACTCTTGGCCAGTCTGGGGGCTTTTCTAGGTCCCGGGAAATCCCAGGGGGGATGCGTATCTGCCCCCCCCCCCCCCCCCCAGGGACCCCCCCCCGGGACCCCCCCCGGGACCCTGCCCCGGGACCCCCCCCGGGACCCCTCCCCCCGGCGGGGAAGGGATCAAAGGGAAGGGGCTTCCTTTCGACTCAGTTACGACGTTGCTCAATTTCGCTTTGCCTTCGACTCAGCTACGACGTTGCTCGATTTCGCTTTGGTTTCGCTTTGGCTGGCGCGCCTGAGGGAAAGACGACGACGACGACGACGACGACGACGACCACGACGACGACGACGACGACGACAGGAAGAGCATCGACGACGACGACGACGACGACGACGACGACGACGACGGCGGCGACGACGACGACGACGGCGACGACGACGACGACGACGACGACGACGTTCACGACGAACGGAACAACTTTTTCCACACGCCGACAGGGTCGGCGGATTTTCATCTCCGCATCAGTACCACCACTTTCCCTTCCTTGAGCAGCCTGTGCTTGTTGTTGTTTTGCATGTGAACCGGCAGTCCTCTTCGGACATCCGGTACGACTGCGAGGGCAACAGCAGAAGGCGTTACTGCGATGACGGGCGACTCCCCCACAGGAGCGCTATGAGGTTTTCCGACCCGTCGCACCCTCACAGGAACTGGCCGCTCCTCAAAGAGCTAGCGCCGTGCTTCGGAAAGTGTGTGACAGTGCTGGCTGTCCTCGGTTGCACATCGCACCACCCAGGTGGCACGCTGAATGCTAATTTACCACCTTCACCGACATCGGCTTCGACCGAAATTGACAACAGCATCATCATGGCAGCCCAGAGCTTCGACATGGCGCTCGCCCCTGCGCTGGCCCCAATCCCAAGGCACCTACGCAGCCATCGCCGTGGTGAGGTTTTATCGAGCATGATCTTCATTTGGATGCTGTGGGGAGCAGCACCCTCGTGTCTTTCGTGGCCGTCCTGGTCTGGCACCGGCGTGATGCTTGGTGGAACCGGCCCACATGGCCGCAGTGGCCGCGGTGCGATCACATCCCGTCAGCCGCCCCGATGGGCACCCGAGCGCGAGTCCATGCACCCCTTTCCGCCGCTGGGTGCTGGACTTGCTCGCTTGCAGCGTGCCAGCCACCGGCATGGACAGCGCCCAACAATGCGGTCGCCGCCAGCCTCAACCTCGGTGGGTCCGCTCGCGAGCTCACGCGTTCCGAGAACTTCGCGGGGATGCAGAGGGGGGCACGACAATTGCCTGCAATGGAGA